AGAGAGAGAGAGAGAGAGAGAGAGAGAGAGAGAGAGAGAGAGAGAGAGAGAGAGAGGGAGAGAGAGAGAGAGAGGAATGAGAAGGGGAGAGAGAAGGAACCCAGTGGGCAAAAAATATCAGTGGAACATCAACCGTTGACGTCAACTGACCATCAACTCAGGGTCGAAAATGACATCAACCGTTGATGTCATATTGACATCACACATTGACGTTGTATTGACATCACACATTGATGTTGTATTGACATCACACATTGACGTTGTATTGACATCACACATTGACGTTGTATTGACATCACACATTGACGTTGCATTGACATCACACATTGATGTTGTATTGACATCACACATTGACGTTGTATTGACATCACACATTGACGTTGCATTGACATCACACATTGATGTCATATTGACATCACACATTGACGTTGTATTGACATCACACATTGATGTTGTATTGACATCACACATTGACGTTGTATTGACATTAGACATTGACGTTGTATTGACATCAGACATTGACGTTGTATTAACATTAGACATTGACGTTGTATTGACATCAACCATTGACGTTCTAATGGGATTAATCCATTGATTTTCATTTGAATTAATATTTAAAGGCATGGCTAAACAAACACAAATTTAAAATTCTACAATGTCTTTATTTTCCAATCTATACAATGAATGGGTGGATGTACAGAACACCAAATCAAAGAAGCGATGCAACGTATTTTTACAATACAAAGTGAAAAAAGGGGGGAAGTGGAAGAAACTATAATTATTCAATAATGATTAGTTTCTTCCACGTCCCCCTTTTTTCGACAAAAACCCCCGGTTTCATGACAAATACTATATAACAACAATAGTAGACATATTCACTTACCTTCTAAGTTTTTGTATGTTTTTTTAAATACTGTGTATATTCGATGGATTAGCTGGACTTGTAATTATGCCTGTCTGATTTCTTGATTCTTTGATTTCTGCTGTCGAGACCTTGTACCCATAATGCTTTGCGCGTTTGCTACACGATGAACACATGACGTAAGCATAGCTATTTATTATGTATTTATTTAAGATAACAATGAACATAATGAACATAATTAACATGATTGAAGACAACAAATTAATTCAAAGTTAATTTTAACTAAAAACAAAAAGTGGTCAATATTTGATTTCTTGTCGATGTCGAGGTGACATTTCTCTCAAATGTCTCTGCAACATTTGTAGATTGATGTCACACGGACGTCCAAACGTCTCTGCAACATTTGTTGATAGATGTCACACGGACGTCAAAATCACATCAATCGACATTATGTTCTAAAAATGACCAATATACGATGTCGACTCGAGGTGCTGTTGCCCACTGGAAAGGAATGGCGTGGGAAAAAGAAAGAGTGAGAGAGAGAGAAAGGTAGAGAAGGGGAAGAATGAGAAACTGAGAAATACCGAGGTGTGTAAAATGAACGAGGAAGCGAAGGCAACGAGTAAGAGGCTGGGGTAGCCTCAGACACAGGCAGTGGCAGAGCGAAGGGCTATAGTTCTAGAGCTACCTCAGACATTACTGTCTCAGCTGATCTCGCTGACTCAGATGAGCACAGCCGGGCACACGTTGTCATCTAGCTAAGGGCAATGCGTTCATTCGCGTGCACGGTGTTTCATTAGCCTGGGCACATGGCCAGCCCGCGCGCCGCTGCCGCGGCCAGTGCTGCCGCCGCCGGCACATGCCGCCGGTTCAAAAGCCGGGCAAGCCGGCTAATTGCCGGCATCAACAAGTGGGCGGACTGCCATATAATAATCAGAAGTCTGATCATATTCATAGACTCGCTGATCATAATTACGTGGATGTAAACACGATGATGACGTCAGAGCAATGTTTGTCGCGTAACAGCTGGTGGCTGCCTCTAAACTAGAGATAATTGCTGGTACGTGAAGTCATATTAGTCAGGAGGTCTTATGCACATTATTACCTGCAATTATGAAGACATTTTTGTATCAATCGGGTTGCATGATGTTCTCAACTAAGAATTTTTTTGAGGAGGCCCAAAATTTGAACGCCAGCGGAACACGCCCAGCCCCCCCAGCCCCTGCCCCCATGGGCGCCGGAAGGGACCCGACAACTGTTATTTGCCATATCTTGCCTTCTTTGGTCGATTGAGCAATGTAGAGTCGATTCTAGGGTTTTTAAAACATCAAGTGAAATCGATTGGGCATGGTTTGGAAACCAAGAATGTCGTTCATAGACGGCAGCGTGATACTCGTTCCCTTCGGGTTCACCTCCGCGGGCGCCGAAAAATAGGAGGTTTTCACATAAATCTCGTATTTTCCAAAAAGTTAGAGGTCAATTTGGGCTTTGAAAGAGTCAAAGGATTTATTAGACTACACATGATACACTTTCAGACTCCTGGAAATTCGTTTCACACTGGTAGTGAGTACACGTAGGTGCAAAAATCTGACAGACTGACAGTACCGCAATCGTCCATCCAGTCACTTGTCAATACACATTCTACACTGACTGCATATCATCCTGTACATGCTTCCATTAGAGATTTATGCACCATTCCGCGGTGCAAGCTGCAGAAAGAAAGGCAGCCATGCGCATTGTTCTTAAGCCGCATTTGCATGACAGGCACCTCCTGAGTCACGATCTCGGAGGTTTGGTCTTGCTGGGGGCGTCCGTTGTACCATTGAATGTGGAGTTGTTCTGATAGAGATGTTTTTTTTTTTTTTTTTTTTTCCATCTAGTTTTTTTTTTTTTTTTTTTTTTTTTGTTCCATCCACGACATGCTCAAGAGGCAGGGCTGGGGATCTGAGGGTGTTACCCCACACCCATACCTGCTGATAGCGCATGGGCGACGTACGCGCCAGTAAGCTGAGGAATCAATAAAGTTGGGAGGTCCCTTAACTGCATCAGAACCTGAGGCCTGAGAACATTGAGAACCGCAGCTTACAGTTGAGACTATTGGTACACAGCCACCGTCTTTGAGTAACATACAGCAGCAAATCCACAAGTATCTTTTCTGTGCTTGCGGAATGACTTGTTCCTGGCGTGGGCACCAGTCCTAGTTGTTTAAATACCTCCCTTCATTGGTCAGTTCATCCGCTCGTCGAGCACTTATTCCAGTTGAGAAAAACCACGATCTTTTTGGTCAGGCTTGTAGAAAAAGCAGGTGAGAATCGGCACAGTGAAGCAGTGGAAGAATGGCGAAGGCTAAGCAGACGTCCTCCGGCCTAGTGACTCATACAAACTTCGACATGTTGTTCTTGTACCTGTTCGTTCGCACGAGATTATATTCAACCACGAAGCTTGCATAAGTCAGGGTTCGATCGTTTAAGGAACCTGGGGACATAAAGCGCGAGGAGAATGACAATGAACGTCCAAATCCAACTGTCCAGTAAGCAATCGGGCGATTAAACCACAATCCAACATGTCAATTATATTGGCACAGGCATGCCTGTTGTCCGCCTCTCTTAGTGTTTGCGATCTTGGCATGGTATGATAGTCTTTCATGAGCTCAGCATTTCGTTGAAACATTGTCAGACGGCATTAGTGAGCACAGAAATCTTTTCCAGACCAGGAGATGGGTTTACACAACACACGCTTTCCGGCAATTAATGCATTAAGTCTGGTGCTAATTCTGATCATCTGTGAGAAAAGATTTGACAATATCCTTCAGGGTGCAGTGCATCACCCAGTAAAGTTAATTTGCTGTTTTTGAACATTTGGACTATCCTTTCCGAGCGGTGGGGCTCTTGATGCGTTAACGGGTTTATACTGGTCTGCATACACATAATCCGATTCGAGACGCGCCCGGCGTGTGGGCAGTGTTCCTCAATGCTCTGGCAGAGACCTGAGACAAATCATTAAAAGTTGACGCGCCTCTGATAGATCGCAGCCTGTAGCTCAGATGACAACTGAAAGATCAACCAACGGAGAACTTTGACATTTGTTGGACTTGGTGTAAACCGCTGTTTTCTGGTGATTGTCAGCGCAAAATCTGTGACTTTGAACTGTGATAAGGGTTCCATCCTTATTTGATGACAGCACTCAGGGTTAATTCGGTTATCTTCCCCTCGAAGAAAGTTTCTTTGTCTCCCTGATTCACGTTCTTGCCAAGCATTCTCTCAATTTTGTTGAAACAGTTGCTGGTGAACTTGATTGCGAGGGTTCTGCAATCCGACATCATCGGCACTGCTATGGGAGGCTTCAGTCATGTTTCTTTTTACCTTTCGATT